ATATTAAAAAGTGTCATTCTTGATTCTGTTTTCTTTGCAACAGCCACAACATGGAACGACTTACTCATATCTCCATAATCCTCAGCAGCAATCGGAACATGACCAAATATTCTGAAATGTCAAATTCAAAAGGAAAATAAAAAAAAAAAAAAAAAAACAGATTTAGGGGAGAGGAAACTCCAGAAAGTGTCAAATTTGTCACTTAACTTTGAAAGAGAAACAAGGTTAGGGAGTGGTGGCACAAATATATAGTTTCCTAAATGACCAAATTGAATAACCAACAGTTTTTCTGAGGAAAATTAAATTTACCTAACAACTTCTTTTTTTAATAATATTCACCCAGTAAAAGACCCAAGGACCACTCAAGGTAGAGGGTTATTGTGTTGAGTTATATTAGCATAGGAAAGGACAAACTGAAGTAGACTTTAGAAGGAAGTAGAAATCCAGTCCTGAACAGGGAACAACGGCTAAGCCTCTACTCCTGTTCAAAAGACTGGGGAGAAGTGTGAATTAGATGATAGGCAAATCTATCTCCGCCTATTGAGGAAAACCAAAAAAATAGTAAAATAAAATTTCAGAGTTCAGGTGGAGATGTTAGAAGTATAGAGTTGAAGACTTTAGAAGGAACTAGAAATCCAGTCCTGAACAGGAAACAAGGGATAAGCCTCTACTCCTGTTCAAAAGACCAGGGAGGAATGTGAATAATATTTGAACAGTGAGTAGACTACATTGTGTGGAATTGCCAACTTAAGCTCCATTTTTTCTTTTACTCATTTTGGGTCATAAGCTAGCAACTTAGCTTGCAAATGTTCGTGTTGAAAATAATATCTTTCATTACTATAAATACAAAAGGAATTAATTTTTGAATGTGAAAATGAAACTAATGTTAGCAAACTTAGCAAGGCACATCAAATGGCAAAAATCAATCTGCACTGCAGTGGCAGGCCTACAATTTTAGGGGCCCTGAAGCTTGAACAGATATAAAGATACTTTTGACCAGCCTATTCATTTGTTATACAAAAACAAAACAAATTCTCACACTTAATTACTCACATTTTTTCACATATTTCAGTCTATATTACAAAAAATGCTTAGTGATATTAACACATAAAAGAAATAGATGCAGGCTAAGTTTGTTTATGAGTCAACAGATAGCAACTAGCTTCCCCTGCCTTTTTCATGTGGTTGACTGCTGTAAATTTATACACACAGAGAATCCAACGTAAATCCATGTCACATACATATGCAAACATGTAGACACATTTTCAGTTTATCCTATACTAACACAATTCATCCAGTTATACCGTAAAAAATGATATACAAAATATTTTGTGCAAAGTTGTTCACAAAGAAGCTTTGTCATTCATTTCTTTCAATTTGAAAGAAAAATAATACTCAAATAAATAAAAACTGAAATTTGTAGACCCGTGTTTGAAGATTGACTTAGTTCTTTCCTTCTTCACACATATTCCATAACAGATGTATGTTCTCTTAAATATACAATCCTTTCTCTGAAATGTATACTAAAGCATCTTATTATTTTTGTCCATGGTTATTTTGTTATATCTCACATATGGTTCTGATTTTAATATTATAATCCTGTTTGTGCTTTGATGATGCCCTTTTACCTCTCCCCCACCCCTAATACAAATATAGAACAAAAAAATTACATCTAGACAAAGGCCAACAAATCACCAGAACACCCACAACAAGAGCATATTCTAAGGCTAGCATTAGCTACTTCAAACCATGATTCTATTACTAAAATGGCTTTATTTCAATAATAAATATTTACCACCCCCTCCCAAACATCGATTTATTTGAAAAATTCACTCCATTAAAAAAAAAAAAAAAATTGCCTCAGGGGCCCCTCTGGGATTAGGGCCCAGATGAGTCAGGCCCATCATTCTGGATGCCACAGTAAGTATTCAATGATTTTGAAGAAAAAATATTTAAAAAAAATATCTATTAATTAAAAATAAAAATAAAAAATCTATGAATGTAAGGATCCTTACTTGCCAGCTGTGTAGATATCCCCAGCATCCAAATTAACAATGTCTGCATCCCCAGAGGCAATTAGTTTCATGCAGCCAATAGCATTTTCTGCTAAAATGCAATCAAGGTCTGGTTTGATGTTCTTGGCTCTCAGCGCCATCAGCATGTCTTCACATTTGGTTTTTTCCGCAAGGGAGATAACACACCAGCGAGCAGTTCGCAAAGGGCATCGGTTTAAACTTGACAATTTTTTGTGAAAATCATCTCCTGTAAATAGACCCAGAAAGCAAAAAAAATAGAATGTTGGTAAAAGTGTAGAATCGGGGCCATGAATATGTACAAAAATACAAAATGTTTACATTATATTTGTGATTAAATTATCAAATATATTTGTGAATTTTTTCTGAATATATTTTGGGCAAACATGGACATTCATGCCAGCAAAAGAAACAGTGTCAAAAGAACAGTTATTTCCTTGACACTGTTATTATTTTAACTACCTTCACTTCTCAGCAATGTTTATTGCTTTAAAAGTGAAGATTAGAATTGCAATAAAACCTAAACATATGAAAGTGAATTATAAATAATAAACACTATTTATTTATTAGACTGTTTATTGGAATGGTTGCCAAAACATTGGTTAATTGCCAATCAATTCAAACTTTATAAAATGGTAAATAATAACAATCTCCTTAGAGTTGGTTCACATATTTTAATAATTTAGTAAATATTTATAAATTTATGAATAAAAAATTGTTTTCATATTTATTTCTTTATAAATTGTGTTTCATCAATTTTTACAATGTTGTAAATATAAAATTATTTTAATAATCTTATTAGATTATTAAAATAATTTATAATAGTGCTTAATATTTTTGCTGTCAATTCTCAAGAACAAAAAAAAAAATGTATAAGTTCACTTTCATATGTTTAGATTTTATTACAATTCTAATCATTGCTTTTTACAAACAAAGTTTGCTGAGGTGTGAAGGTAGTTAAAATAATAGGGGTATCAAAGGAAAAACTGTCCTTTTTGACAGAAAATACATAAAAGAAATTCTTACCAATCCAAGTGTAATCTGTGTCTTTCTTTCCAAGGTCTTCAAGTCCAATAGTACCATCAGTAAAAAGAAGATTCATGCGGCCATGCATTGGGACAGAGTTGGAATTGTACAAGAAGAATTGGTTCTTAAATCTACCATTAACACCAAACAGCTCATCAATTAAAATGAGAAAGTCTTTCAATGGTTGGATTTCTTCAGCTGTTTTAGTTCCTGAAGCCATTATCACATGTGATGGTATTTTGCCCCAGTTGCAGTTTTTATACTGGTCTAGTGGCATATGAGAACCAAAAGGACAGAGAAGTTTGAAGTTCTGGGAAGAGAAAAAAATAAAGAGAGAAAAAAAAAAAGATTCAAGATTAACAGAGCAAAGGTGTTTGGGAATGGTTTGGTATAAATTTATTTACGAACATGACAAGAGAACATAAAAGAGAGAGACACACAAATACTGTAGGGAAAAAGTCAGATATGCCCACAAGCTCCAGATAGATTGATGCATGCTCATGCAGAAAGAAACATGCTGCAGGCTGAGAGACGGACGTGAGCACAAGCTCCAGGCCAAGAGACGGATGTGAGCACAAGCTCTGGGCCGTGAGACAGACGTGAGCACAAGCTAGAGACATATGTATACACACAAAGTTGCCGGCTTACATGTTGCAGTGGGAGAGAGACAGACAGACATGCATGTACACATACAAACTGCAGGGCAAGAAAGAGAAATGGTCACAAGCTACAGATGGAGAGAGAGAGAGAGAGAGAAATGTGCACCTTTGCAGAAAGACAGATATGCACAAAAACTGCAGGTAGAAAGACATGCTCACAAGCTACAGATGAAAAGACTGTCACGTTCACATGCTGAAGGTGGAAAGACATGTTAAAGCTGGAATGAGAGAGACTGATACCTCAGATTGAGAGAAAGAGCAATGGATAGTCATAGAAACAGGTCCACAATACATAGTGATATACTAAATAGTCAGAATCATTCTAATAAACATATAGAAACTTACAGACATGGCACCAGTGTTATTTTGCAACATGAGTGCAACTGTATTGTCCCTGACAAAGGCTATATCACCAATTCCTCTTTCAAGGCACCTAAATGCACCATCATATCCTGCATAAGGGTCACTTGTTGTACAATGGTCATCACCATAACCATCGCACAACTCACATATTTTATTTGGATTGTTTCCTGTAAATAAAGTGAGAAAATGTTATTTATAAACAAGGGAAACATGTCAAGGTAAAGATCCAGGGCCAGTAGCACCCTACAACTTCTTTTCCCTCTCCATAAAGCAGAAAAACACATGCTGTGGGGAGAAGGCAAGAGAGAGAGTGGGGAGGTGATAGAGAGAGGAGAGGGGGGAAGGAGAGGTGAAGAGGAGAGGGGGAAGGAGAGGTGAAGAGGAGGGGGGAAGGAGGGAGAAGAGGAGGGGGGGAAGGAGAGGTGAAGAGGAGAGGGGTGAAGAGGTGAAGAAGGAGGGGGGGAAGAGGAGAGGTGAAGAGGAGAGGGGGAAGGAGAGGTGAAGAGGAGAGGGGGGAAGGAGAGGTGAAGAGGAGAGGAAAAAAATGGTGGAGAAAGAGAGGGAGGAAGAGAAAGAGAGAAGTTTACTCTCTTTCTCCACCAAATAAATTAAAATAAGCTAATTACAATAGTTATTCTGTTGACTGCAATATGCCACACTAGGCATCTCCTTCATAAGGACTTTAGTGTTGCAGGTGATCCACCTTGCTTGCTTTAGTGGGTCACACTGACCCTGGGGAGATCAATTCAAGTTGCATGTGAACTTCAGAGATAAAACCTCAATGGGTACATTTTAGGGCTTGGAAAGTAATTATGTATTGTGCAGCTTTGAATTATGAAGAGAACTAAACAATTTTTGTCACTTTATTTTCCACACCATAACATTTTTTTTTTATTTATTTTTCTATAACAAATCACTATATTTTCATTTCAACATATTTCCCACATGCAAATCTCATTGAACTTTTTTTTGATGGACATTTATTTTCCGATTTCATTAAATGATAAAAATTTTCAAATTAACCACAGTCCTTTTAAGTAACTGGGTTGTTATGGTAAGAACATTAGGAGCAAAGATATCAACAATAAAAAACTAAAACATCCAACTAGTTGTTTGACTATTCTACCTTGCATATTTTGTTTTGATATTTCATATTATATAACTGTTGTAATGTTGTTATGTAGCCAAAAATTTGGAAAGCCATAGGGAGAGTATCAAAGGAACGGAAGACGATGGAGGGGAAAACAAAGAAGAGGTTTATTAAATACTCATACATAGGAGTTCAAAATAGACAAGAATTAGGAAGGCTGTAGTTAGAGAGAGTATCAAAGGAACAGAAGACTAGGTAGGAGAAAACAAAGAGAAAAGGGTTAAATACTCATACAGAGAACAAAAATACTCAAAATCAACTACTCCTCAAACCCTACACTAATTTAGCTACTTGCCATATTTATAAGTAGGAGCAGTCCATTGTCACAGTCGTAGGGAAGAGCAGGAAGTATACCAAGTCCTCCTCTACAACAATTGCACCCCCCCATCCTACTATTCTTATTGTTTGCATGTAGAAATTTTCTACCTAAAGTCATTGTAGCATCTGTTTCTTAAGCCTGGTTGTTCTGACTATGGATTAATTATGGCGATGGAGATAAAAAATATTAATCAAAAAGTAAAAAGAAGGGAAGAATGTGTGTGACGGTGAGAAGGTAGAAGGTTAGAAATTCTGTTTTTACGATCCCTTCCTCCATATATGTGTGGGTGAAAGAGAGAGAGAGAGAGAGAGAGAGAGACATTACTTACCTAATTGGTTATAGAAAGCAGATAATCCTCCTGGGAGACATGTGCTTGAAAAAAATGCTGACACAGTCTTGACAATAGCATTGCACTCAATAATTTTAAGAAGGTTTTTGTCAATCAGGGTAGAAATGGGATAGATCCACCCAGCTCCATTACCAATACCTATAAATGACAGGTATATGAATGAATAAATTAATTACATTTTCAAATTTTCATTAAATACATGAATGAAGAAATAAATGAATAAAATTAAAACAAATCTAATTAACTGACAAACACAAATTTTAAAATGTTTATACAACATTATGTAGTATATAAGTACATATCTTAAATTTAAGATCCACCCAAACAACTTACAAATAATGTTACATCATTATGGATGAGGTACAAACACTGGTAGTCTTTATCTTAAGAGTAAACATAAGCTAATCAACTTTGAATATAAGAGCCAAAGAGAGAAAATGAAAAAAACAAAAAAAAACAGAAAATGGTGGGGGTGAGGTCCACCAATTTCTATTCGATGTGTAATGGTTATAGCAATAATCACAAAAAGTGGAATAGGTATGCCGAGTACAAATTCTGGCCTAGTAACTTGTATATACATTTGCACAAATGCCTTTTGGAAAAACAAAAATCCGTCTCTTCTCTCTCTAGGTTAAGTAGCAGGATAAATTAGTTAGTGGCCCAAAAACTAAAGAGACTTCAGGCCCAGCTTAGAAAACAGCAATGATAATTTTGAAGAAATGCAATGTAATTGGCCATGATCTGGAATCTCATCTGCAGTCGCTCTCTCACAGATGTGCCCTCACCTCCCTCTGTCTTTTTTACAAATACTTTCATGGTAACTGCTTCGATGAGCTGCTTGCACTGGTTCCCAGACTCTTTGAAGTTAAGCGTTCTACTAGGCTGGCATCTTGCTCACATCCATTCACTGTTGAAACTGTTAAATGTAGCCGTCTCTTCTACTCCAATAGCTTCATGTCTCGCACCTTTCACCTGTGGAACTCTCTCCTCTCTTCCTGTTTCCCTGATAGCTATAATCTCCAACTCTTCAAATGTAATGTCAATCAATGTCTCCAGATGCCTTGATCTATCCCCTATCCTTCTCTTCATCCTTTCCTCTATCACTCCTATTTGTACTCACTCCAATTTTCTGTAACCCCTTGCGTGCTAGTGGCTTCCCGCTTTGTTTGGGATGAAACGCTTGAGAAAAAAAAAAAAAAAAAAAAAAAAGAGAAAAACATTCAATTTTTCAATTCACTCCATGGAACTTCAAAACCTCATTTTAACTCTGATTTGGGTTATAAGTCCAATTCTGGCCAAAAGACTGATTTAGGACAGTTTCAATTCAGGCCAAAAAATTGAATTCTTCAAATCAAACTCCATGGAACTTCAAAACCTTTCACTTTAATTCCTTGGCATTTTGAAGAAATAAAATAGATTTCCTCAATTCAAAAAGTTTTAGAGGTGTTTAAATTGAACTTAAAACAAAAAATTTTAAATTCTCAAAAGTTTTTGTGCTACTTCAAACTCAATATAAATTAAAAACTTAAAATCACTAATTTTTTTTCAGTTATTTTAAAATTTGAATTTTTAACTATTCCCTCTTCACCCAGACATAAATCCCAATGCTGGATGTTCAAGCACCAGATAAAAGACAGACTTCAATACTGGGAGCATCATGATTCGAAAAGGGTATAACATGTCTATGTAGAGCAAGTGTAGCCCGAGTTAGAACATTTTCAAACACATGGAGAGACTTTGCCATTTGTTCATTTTAGATGCGAGTTTCAGCTTATGATATATCCTTATGATATATAAAAGAAAATACTCATAAAATATTTTCCATTTTTTTATCTTGGGAAGGGGTCAGGTTTTATTATGCAAACAAATTTTAAACAGTAACTGAAAATATCACAAGCAGCAAAATTCAAAATTTAGCGGCATTTTTTTTTTTATATAAAAGCAGCCTTACAATCTGGTAGCCATGATCTAGATAAATATTCAAATTATTGTTTTTATTTACTTTTCTAGATGAAACGCAAAAACTTCTCTATCATTATATATGCCTTTTTAGTTGGACCCTCAAGTGCATCATGTTGATAATGTGTTTACAGCCACTGTACCCTCCAGTGTTCTCCAGGTCTTTAGTGAATTTGTTGTCATCAGCACCTGCTTGCATCTGAATAGTCATCCTCTCTCCTTATTCTCTTTCTCTTCTCTAGTGCTGGAAGAGATGGCTGTAAAGGCCCAGCCTACACCTGAAGAGTCATGAGTGGTGGACATGGCTGAGCAAGTTGGGCCTTCCTGATAGCATGTTGCTGATCCTCTTCATGTTGATGGTTGGACTCAAAAGTCTCGGTCCCCTCTTGGATGGTCCTATACCAGGAAGGATGATTTGCAGCAACAGTTTCTCAGGTTTCAGTGTTGGCCTATGTCAGAGATGTCTTCAACTGATCCTTGAAGTGTTGTTTTGGGCCTCCTCCTTCGGGTGTTTAGTGAATTGAAGAGTTAGTTAAAACATTGGTTTTTCCAATAGTTGTGGCTTCATTCCCAGAGCCTCATACTGAAAATTCCCAGACTCTGGTCCAATGGAAGAAACAGCTAAGCGATACAAAAGTGAATAAGACTGGAGAGTATAAACTGATATGAGTTATCTCCCCATAGCATGAAAAGCAGAATGAGAACAATCTGTCCACCCACAAGATTGAATAAAGGAGGTTTGGTTCAAAATTCCAAGACTTACCAGTTATGATTGTAATGTTAGTAATATATGATTGAAATAAGAGGCTAAATTTTCCATACAAAAAAGAAAAAAATTGCTTAACTTCTGGATGTAAATGAATGTCAGACAAATTGAGGGTATGTGGTTTTGGGTCTTTCTTTCAAAAGTTTGATCATCTACTTGCAAGGGAGTGACCGACTCTGCTTCTTGTCTCATAAGGAGGCATTTGTATAACTTCCTGTTATTCAGTTGTCTTGTGTGCGAGTTCACTTCCTTGTTTGTTGGTACACTCATTGACATCCCTTGAGGCCAGATTCTACACTTAGTAGCTTTGCGGTTACCTTCTAGTTCAGTCTCTGAGAATCCTAGATCTTTTGGGTTCATCAAGTGAGATAAAGTACAAAATTTACTTTGGTATCTTTTAAGGCAAAACCAGTACATATTGGGATCAGTATAAATCAACACTTCTTAAATCAAAGGTGACATTATATTCAATTCAGGCCTTTGGCATTTCATAGCATGAATCACATACTACATGATAACATTCACTTGAAGAAGGCCAGATAATGGCTGAAATGTTGTGATTATAACTAAGATGATGCTCATCTTGGTGGTTACAATCACAACTTTTGAATAAAAAGGCATATCACTGTTTTTTTTTAATGTAATTTCAACATGCTTATCTCATTTCTATAAGAAAAAAAGATTTGGTAAATTTTAGTATTATCTGTCCTATAGTTTTGTTTTCTGCATGGTCTTGAAATTCTGATGGATTGTCTTTAAGAGATGCAAATGAGTGCTTACCTGGGAAACACACTTTCTTATTTTGCATTGAATTGATATCAATGTTAGAAACAGAATTGATGACCGCCACTGCGTAAAACTTTAAACGATCAGAATCTGAAAAAGAGAAAATTAAATATTTTTGTTACATTGATATCTATATGGGTAATAAAGAACAACACAAACATCCATGTCTAATTTTTTTTTATTATTATGGGATTTAAGGCAAGGTTAGGGTTACTAATTCCTTTAACATTTAACACTCTGCTTTATTCACTACTTTCCTTTTCACTGCATTGTTTTTCAAAACTTCTCTACTGCATTACTTAATTTCAGTCACAGTCATTTTCTGTTGCCATAGCAGGATATGACAACACAATTACAAAATTCAAACATGCTATCATCTATTCATCTGATTCACTTGAAGTGGCAGGATAAAATTTATATACGAGAGATAGATACACACAAAATCTGCCAAAAATGTATGGATGCTTCAAGAAAGGAAAAACTTGTACAGATATTGTAATACTAAATATAATCAGATGCCACAAGATTAACCTTTAACGCACTGCATTATTCACTACTCTCCTTTCCACTGCATTGTTTTTCAAGGCTCCTCTACTACACTATTTCAGTCAGGGTCATTTTTTGTTGCCATAGAAGGATATGACAACACAATTGCAAAATACAAACATGCTGTTATTCATTCATTTGAGTCACTTGCAGTGGCAGGATAAAATTTTTGCTTTGCAAGCAAAATAATCTTCAGTATGTTAAAGGTTAACACTACCGTATTTTAATATTTTTTGTGTATAATATGAGAAATGGTGAAAAAAAATTAAAGGCAAAACAATGGGGGTGGTTATTACGTTTTCAGAAATGTTTATTCAGCTTAAAAAACCTTTTATTTGAAAGAGCAAGAATAGAAATATACTCAGCACAATAAAATGACTAATAAAACAGAGTAGGCAGGTGTTGATAATTGTTTATAAAAGATGTTTGATATATCGATAATATTTGTTCTTTGAGCATCTTTTGTCTCAAAGACAGTAAATTCACTAAAATTGATTAAACTAATTAATAAAAAGAGAGTACACAAGATCTTTTATATTTTGATAACATTAATGTTACAACAAACGCCTAACTATTGTATAAATTATGTACTTTTTTTTTGAGTTTTTTCTGCTTGAAAAATGGGGTCATAATTGCCATGTTGTTTCATTTTCCTCCATTTATTAACACTTGAAAACTTCAAAGGATTTTGAGAAAAATAAAACAATAGAAAATAGATATGTAAACAACACCAACATAATTAGATCACTATATAAATAGTGTATACTGATACTTGTAATTTTAAATTGCAAAATGTTGTGATAATTTATGTGGAAACAACATTAACATTTCAACAGAATGGCTGTACTATGCGTTGTATTATACTCAAGAATGTAATTTATTCCCTGTTTTTAACTTCAAAAACACAGGGTCATATACTAAAGTCATTTTTTTTTTACCTGCAAAAATACAGTAAGTAAAGATTTAATATCTTTCATCTTCAATTTTGTGCGACAGTTGAAAAAAACAGAGCAAAGCAAAATGAAAAGCACTTAATTATTCATTTCTTAAAAAATTATAATAAATGAATGGAAATTTAATAATCACCTGACATTATGGCCGCAACCTATTTAGGTTTCCAAGACAAACTTCAAAAATTCATTAAAAAGGTTTCAAACAATTTCTGTGATTTTTACAGTTCTTGAATAAGAGTTTTCAGTAGGATCCAAGAAATCCATCCTATTATCTGTGTGTGTGTGTGTTTATACTAAAGTTCAACCAAGAGCCACTCAAGGTAGAGGGCTGCTGTTAAGATGAATGAAGTGCATGATATGAATGAAAAGGGAGGTGGTAAGAAGTGAAAATTACAAGGATAAATAAAGATTGCCCCTTGACTTGAAGAGGTTAACATTGCAGTGTTCAGAGAAGCAGCTACATGTGAGTCTGTTCTACTAAGTGGCAGTTCTTGAGGAAAAAGCTGAGTGGAACTTCCTCCTTGCAATTGGAATACAAAGAAAATGAGAATTATTCAACTCTGTGGATGTAGTATGGTATGGCATAGCTGTAAAAATCTGAACTGGTGGAACTGAAGAATCCAGTGATAGGTTTGGTGAGAAAGAGATACATTATTTTGAACTCATTGGAAAGTAAGGATTTAGCACCTATAGCCCAGAAATGGTAGCAATATTCCATTTTTGGTCAATATTTGACTCTTGCATACCTCCTATACCTTATGACATCAGAAAATTTGATTTTTTTTTTTTTGGTGGATTCATTAAATCAGGTGGAGGTGTTGTTGTCTGATCATTTTAATATAGAGAAAGATTGATCAAAAGATCACATACACACACACACATATATATATATATATATATATATATATGTCATCCACAGACAGACTGTTTTGCTGTATCACAGCTCTTCAGTGTGGCTAGACATGTGATTGCTCCAAATTGGGATTGAAACCTAACCAATTTGACATCAGTCAGAGATCCTCCCCCTAGGCTATCATCGCACAGCAGAGGGAAAGGGAAATTTTAACGTTTTTTTTTTTTCTATACAAAATATGTCAGCGGCCTGGAGAACTCAATTCGTACATGAAGAGTAATGCATATGTGTGTGTGTGTGTGTGTGTAAGTCACGGCGGAGTAATGGGTAGCGGCTTGGATTGAGGAATCAGAGAGCCAAATCTGAATTCCAGTCAAATCCATTACATTCACTTACGTGCTAATATCCTTGGGAAAGGTGTGAATCCTCTTCTTCTCCCTCCAGCTATGGGTAAATAGCAAGACAGACTGGGTTCTATAGCCTTGGATGGCAACTGGTCTAGGAGAAGGACGACTCTGAATTCAAAACCTGTGGAGGGTCATTTGGGGACCCTGTGGCACATATTGTACCAAGTCTCTGTATTCAGCCCTTCAAAAAATGTGGATGGTCCTGCACAAAACCTTCACCACTATAATAAAATCTCATGTGCTGGTGTCAGGCTGTCAGTTTCCTAGGAACTGATCTGCTTGACCCTCATACGTCAAATTCAATGGGAGAGTCGAGTATATATATTTATTTTGTGTTTCAAACAACACATGCTGCTAAGAAAATATGATAGGTGCATAATAAGTGTTTTTGTTTTCATAATTTTATTTACATTCAAAAAACGTGCTGAAATATTTATAAGGTACCTGTAATTATATTGACTTACCTGTATTGTACATTTCTGCCATTATAGGTCGCATGTTGTGATATTTGCTTGCATAAAATCCCTGTCCGGGGTCCAGAGTAATCAAATCCACATTGTTTTTTTGAATGTTATTCATACAATCAAAGCTATAAGTAGAAAGAGGAAAAGAATGCATTTAGATAATAATCAAACAATGTTGACTTGGGACTAAAAGACGACTCTTACATAATGCAGAAGGTCTGTCCAATCAGAGTGCAAGGAAAACGCCTCACATTGGAAGAACAGAGCAGATGTATGCATTTGGTTCAAATCAATATTGAATTGTAACAATTGTACTAACATCCAAAATATTGTGATAACAACAACAAAGATGAGGACATTAATCAGACTGTGACTCATCTTGGAAATTCAGACTGAGTTTACTTTTTGTCTTTTATATATATATATATTTGTAGTGATATATATGTGTGTGTGTGTGTGTAGTGATTTGTAGTGATATATGTGTGTGTATTTGTAGTGATATGTGTGTGTGTGTGTGTAGTGATTTGTAGTGATATATATATGTGTGTGTGTGTGTGTGTGTGGTGATTTGTAGTGATATATATGTGTGTGTGTGGTGATTTGTAGTGGTATATATATATATGTGTGTGTGTGTGTGTGTTGTGATTTGTAGTGGTATATATATATGTGTGTGTGTGTGTGTGTGTGTGGTGATTTGTAGTGATATATATGTGTGTGTGTGTGTGTGTGTGATTTGTAGTGATATATGTGTGTGTGTGTGTGTGTGGTGATTTGTAGTGATATATGTGTGTGTGTGTGTGTAGTGATTTGTTTTTTTTTATTGCTTATCAATCTTTGCAGATTATTTAAAGCCAGAACATATTTTTAAGTCCTACTAATTAACCCATAGCAGGGGGTAAAAGGTGGATGCATATCTTTCCCAAGGGTATTTGCACATAAGTGACTATAAAAAACCTGAGTGGAATTGGAACTTGGCTCTACAATTTCCAATTCTGAGCCATTATCTATTATACCACTCGCACATCAAAACTTACAGCACCTGGTATTCCCAAGTGGTTACCTGTCTAGGTACTGACCAGGATTGATGTTGCTTAACTTTGGTGATCAAACGAGAACTGGTATTTCAATATGATATGACTGTAGGCCCCTCATATTTGTGGGAAAATCATTGATGGCATCAGGTTTGTAAACATGTTGCTGATGCATGTGTGCGTGCTAGTATAAATGTAATTGAATCCAAGAGTTAAGAATTCATCAATTAGATCTAAATTCGTTAATGAATGATGACCGAATTGTTGTAAAAAGATGATGCCCACTGATTACCAATGAAACATCAATTGATAATACCCGCTGTTTAAGGGCTAAGTAACAATTTAAATATCTGGGAAGTGTTTTAACAGAGGATGGAAAGTGAAACAAGGAAATCTGAAGACACATTGGAATAGCAAAAGGTGCCTTTTAAAAGCTAAACAAAGTATTAAGAAACAGGAAAATTTTGTTAGAAACAAAGAACAAGAAAAAGAAGAGTACAGAATTGTTATGTAATATCAATCCTCCCACAAGTCAGTGACAAAGAAGAGACTTGAAGCAACAGAAATGTGTTTCTACAGAAGGATGCTGAGAATATTAGGGACCGATCATAGCAATAATGAAGTTTTAGAGAAAATGGAAACAAAAAGGACCCTTAAACAACATTAGAAAGAGAGAATTGAAATTTCTAGGGCAGATAATGAGGAAAGGAGGCTTGGAGAATTTCATATTGATAGGACAGATTGATAGCAAAAAACTGAAAGAGAGTTCCATAAGTAAGAAATGTGAAAAAAGAAACTGTTAGCATAAAACTTCTGGTAATATCTAGCCAATTCAACTGTAAAATGATGAGACCTAACTGCCAATCTAACACTGTGCTTAAATTCATAAAACCTAGGTACCATGGAGGAGAGTAATATTTATTTTGTTATAATACAAAAATATGGCACAAGGCCAAAAGGGGGGAGTTGGGGAAAGGCTGGTCTTATTCTGTTTGATAATTAAACTTAGCTAGCCACAATTACTGACCCAAATATACCACAGTATTCCTGATACCAAAACAACACATTCTTACTTACCATTTTTACTACAGCCAATAATAATATCTCAAAGTCTCTATGAAGTCCTAACTAGTTCTCATATGTAAAATTTGTTGCCAAAAATCTAAATATTTTGAATGCAATTTTATGGCTTCAACTGAACACATCTTGTACATAATTTTATACTTTTCGAGTAAAATGTTTTTTTTTTTTCATTTGTAGATCGTAAAATGTATTATTGGTAATTTTATTATAAAAAAGTATTTTTATAATTTTTTAGTGTTGCACTGATTGTCATTTTGCTATAAAAATGTATTACTGGTCATTTTATTATAAAAATGTATTACTGGTCATTTTATTATAAAAATGTATTGTTGGTCATTTTATTATAAAAATGTACTGATTTTTGTTTGGAGTTCACTATTTGCCCAGAGCTGCAACCCTAACAGGTGCTACCACCCCAGCTCAAGGATGATCTGGGAACAGCAGCAATTAAGAGGTGACTCCAAGCTCCTCAAAACCTCCAATCTCCCAATCAGAAGCCTTGCTGCCAGATGTAGTTTATCATCATACCCAGGATGAGGGAGCATTAGTAATTTCTTTTACAAAAATGTATTACTGGTAACTTTTTTTTTTTTAACTATGAAAATGTATTGCTCGTATTTTTACTATAAAAATATATTTTTATATTTTCATAGTGTTTTGATCCCAGTTTGTAAGGGGGGGGTAACTTTATCCATAGTTGGTACCCTAACAGGTGCTACCACCCCAGGTCAGAGTAAACCTGGAAATAAAACATCTACTTACATGTCTTTCCTTTCCTGACAGATAAGCTCATATTTCTTGACTTTAGCTGCAAATGCATTATTCTGTTGAGAGATTAACTTCAGGTTATCTTTCAGAATTTCACATTTCATTTTCTCAGCTGAATTTACAACACACCATCGAATCACAAACTCTGTAAAAGAAAAAATATATATCGACATATAGAAAAGGCAATGAGTTTATATAGACATACATACACACACACATATCAGTGTGGACACAGAAATCAACATTGCATAGTGACTAGCAGTTTCAGACCTTAAGTGATCATTGGGAAAAAAAAATTAGTAGTAGCCCAATGTTGTATCCAAGCTCATAGCTGATGGAGGGAAAAACAGATCTGTTCAGAGTGGGCAGATTTAAAATCCAACATACAGCAATGGTTATTTACACACACACACACACACACACAGTCCTCAAAAATGTACACACTTCAGAAAAGGCAAAAACTTGTCTTTCATAGTTTTATCAAATAGTGATAAAACTGTGTAATGGAGTGTCCTTCTCAATAAATGGCATTACTGTCACAACTTTGTCTGGTTTATTTAAAACTACCATGGTTAGGAAAGAAATAGTCAGACACTTGCCAATAGGGTGTTGGTGGATGTGATTTCTAGCTTTTCTAATGTCAAGTTGCGTGTTGTCTTTGATATTATTTTGGTGTTTCCAACTTTCACTAAAGATGGTTTGCCCTGCCTGCAAAGCATTTCTATTAATTATAAATTTAAATGACAATGTGAGGCTGATTATGTGAGGTGAACCAACTTGCGACTGAAGACCTGAATTGGACAGCACATACCTACTTATATAAGATGGGGCGGAGTCAGTGACAGTATTCACTTGACTCAGTCAGTTTGTGAGTCAGCGATTGGACTAAATTTGCGTTTTTTCAGTTTCAACGTTTATTTTTTTCTCCAATGAAGAAGTGTTGGGCAAAAAAGGTTCCTTTTAAAGAAAAAGAATGCACTTGGTCATTTTAAATTGTAGCCTAAAATTTAGGTCATATATATCTCACTAACACTTTATTATAGGATATATCAAAAAAATGTCAAAATCACTAGACAATTGCAGTCATGTTTTGATGCACATAGAACACATCAGGTGATTGTAAATATTGCTCTACTTTGTATTAAGCCCTCTTTTAAATTAAATGTTACAAATGTACTCTATTTGTTTTCACACACACACATATATATATATATATATATATATATATATATATATATATATATGAGAAAAATCGGCAGACCACTGATACCTCCTGACAATTACAAAAAGGTTAGTCTATGAAACTATTGAGACAGAATGCTGAATATAATATCAATCAGCTAAGTGATAAATTTTATAGTTGTATATAAAAAACAAAAAACAAAAAAGAAACACAATCTGTCCTTGGTTATTGGATCTGATGAGGTAATTTAATTTATTGCCCCTCTTATCCTCAAAAATCCCAATGTATTTTCTTTGCACAGAGTTTTGACTTTTGTCCCAATCTGGACAAGTCAAATCTAACGTGTCATATTGTGACATGCATTGTTTAAAAGCTTTTGCATTTCCTCTCATTATCTACACTTTTATTTTGGATACTTATATATTATTTCTTATGCAGTGTTACATTAGAACATGCACATATCCACTACAAAATTGAACATTTTTGTTTCAACATCAAAAAAGGAAAACCTTTTTTAAACATCTCAGAAGGTGGGGAATCCCGATGTTATTAAAAACTTTTATTCAGAAATACAGTTATGAAAGCAAATATCACCTACTTCCATCCTTTCGAAATTTTCATAAAAGGTATTCTAGAGTTTACATGTGGAGATTGAAGGGAATCTACGTCATTCGTAATTGCGGGCAAAACAAAGAAAAAAAGGAAAAAGGAAAAAAAAAAGAGGCCATGTGAAGAGGTGATAAGCGCTAAGAAGAAATAAATCTGATCATAGAATTCCATTAGAATGTAAAATTTGAACTTTAACAGTCTTCTAGTTTGGTTAGGTCGATGCTTCAAGTGAAAATAATTTGTTGTCAGAGACAGTTAAAAGTATAGATTAGAATATTAGATATCTTTTTTAACCTTCGTATTATTTTTGGGATAAATCAATATCAAAGGAGAAAAATAATTCAATATAATTTTTAATTTTTTAGAGACAAACAGGTGGTGAAATCCATATAGAAATAAAAAGAAAAATAAGATTAAAAATTAGTATTGACTTTCAATTTCCATTAATGTAAGTTGGAAAAGTGAATGAATACTATTGCATATAGAAAGTTAGTTAAAAAAAAAAAAAAAAAAAAAAAAGTGTGAGCTTGGATCAAAACCTGACCATTGTGGTGTCACCCAGAATCATTACCATTTGCGCCATCCAGACTGTTAGTAGGGGATGGTAATTCTATGTCTGTTGTTGTTTTTATGTAAATGAACATTTTAATTTTTTTTAATTTTTACTTTTCAAAATTTCCATATTATTTCCATATTCATTTATTACTATTAATTATCATTTATAAAGTATTATTATTCAAAGGGTTAAGTAGCCTCATTTGGACCAACTAATGGATAAAGCATAAAGGTCGTTTCAATGAAACTAAGATTATTATATTATTACATTTACAGAAGTAGGAATAAATTATCATAATTGAGGTCTACATTTAATATTCAAAGTAAATTTGACTAAAATGTATCTTGTATCACGAGTAGAACTAGGGTATAATAGTCGATGGCTTCGGTACCATGTTTACAAACATAAGAGGATTCTTTCATAGATCCAAAATTACTTTAGCAAAATTGTAATGTTAATTCTTTCGTATGTTGACAATTTATTGCCGTTTCATATCTTCTATTTAATAAATCTTTCTTTGTCTGGGTATTTAATTATTTGTATTTTCTCCTGTAGGTAGAGAAAACACGGTTCGTTTAATGACCTTGAGATTCTAGCCTGTTTTAGTATTTTCCATTTAAGTTTGGGCGTTTTTGCTTTGTCTTTTAATTGCCAAAAATACTTGGAAAATGAGGTCATGCTTCATTTATCTGCATTATTAAAAGAGGAGATATGGTTATAAAAGCGTTTTTTGAAATCATTCATCATGCGACTGACATAAAATCTTACCGGAGTTCCAGAATTATCAACAGATCTAATAGTACACCTGTATACTATGGATTTTGTTAAACAGCTGTTGGATACTTGACACTGGTTGGGATTCCTACAACTACACAGGTTATTTGTAGGGGACTCATTAGGTCCACCTTAGTAGACTTGTTACTTTTGTTATGTTTTTAATACCTTAGTGTCGTGTGATCTAATTATTTTTTCTAAATTATTTGTGCAACTATAGCTAAGTTTTAGAGTAGTGCAGTTGAAAATTTTTCTCAGAGAGCTTTTTTTTTTTTCTTTTTTTTAAAAATGTTTTTCAATTAATTCTAAGAACTTATGTCCCAATTTAGTACATACTGATAGATTATATGGGGGAATGTACCATATGATCTTCCTTTTTCTGTTTATCCTCTTGGAAAGATTATAATTTTCTATAAACTCAATTTTTGAAAACCTATAACCAATATACTTAAGAATTTTCTCATAGATTGTCTTATGATTTTCAAATATTTCTTTATTAGAGGAGTGCTGGTTAATTTACTTTTCTACCCATGATGGGATATGCTTGATTACAGAGGGTGGGTTGGGTGGGTGGGTGGAGCTAGGATCAATATACACTGGGTTAGCATTATTCTTCATGTATGGTCGGAAATTGTTCATCGTTAAATTCAATGTAACATCTAGGAAATCAACTTGTTTAATGTTAGCGTTTATAACTACGTTAAGACTGAATGATTTAAATGCCCTATGTATTATTTTTCTAATTTTATCAACTTTACCTCTAGTATATTTGTTAACTATCATCAGACCATCATCTCTATAAATTCCTATCCTATTAAGGTTAATTTCTTCATATGCTGTAAAGTTACATAAGAGAAATAGTCCTACCAGATCAGAAGATTCTGCTGAATCCAGAGATCCCATTGATAAGTCAAAATTATCTGATGCATTTTTAATCCATTGTTCGTTTTGATGCATTAATATTGATTTCCTACAGTTCGTGTTAATTTCTTCTTTGGTAATGTCTGAATAAAATTCGGTGAATTCTAATGCTAAACTAAAGAGTTCCCTAGAAATAGATGGATAAAAGTCGACTATATCAAATTGAATAAATGTACAATTACTTTTGTTTTCCAAGTTCTTGAACCAGTAGAGAGAGAGAGAGAGAAAGGGGGGATGGCAAGAAGTATCTCTCATTCAACAGAGAAATTCAAAGATTAAATATAAAGATAGTGAAATATTGGTTGAATAAAGTCATACTTACAAACTCTTTGTAGGACACATTAAGTAGTCTTGTGGGCCATATTTTATGCAGGCCTACCTTAACTGCTCATCAGAACATGATCTGAAACTGCTAGTCACCATCCCATGTTGATTTCTATGTTCCCACTGTTTATACCCATAAATGCTCTATCCCCAATACTGAGCACACTTACCCGATTGATACAAAAAAATTTTAAACAATATATGTTTATCCATGCTGTCAAAAAAGGAGACATTTTAACTGACTCTGATCAGATTATGCCTTTGAATATATTTTTTCCAACTATTATTACTTCACTTCTTCAGGAAATTTTTTTTTTAATCAGCTAGATTCATAAACATATTTGAACAGATAACCTGACAAAGACACTGCCATTAACAGTGCAAGGGTTTATTTTGTTTTACAGTACATCAACTTCAATAGTTTATTTAATGACAAGATTTTATATTATAGATTTGTGTGAATAGAATAGGTATTTTTTGTTAGAGATCAGGTTTCATTGATGCGTTTTTGTAAAGAGGATATGTAGAGAGTCAGGTTTCATTGATGTGTTTTTGTAAAGAGGATATGTAGAGAGTCTGGTTTCATTGATGTGTTTTTGTAAAGAGGATATGTAGAGAGTCTGGTTTCATTGATGTGTTTTTGTAAAGAGGATATGTAGAGAGTCAGGTTTCATTGATGTGTTTTTGTAAAGAGGATATGTAGAGAGTCAGGTTTCATTGATGCGTTTTTGTAAAGAGGATATGTAGAGAGTCTGGTTTCATTGATGCGTTTTTGTAA